CACTTTTGTGCTTTCTGTTAACCAAAAGAGAATAAAACCATTACAACAACATTTACAAAAATCCGTGGCACGGCCTTCCTACATCACATGGAGTATGATTACATGGCTATTTTCTTTAGACAGCAAGTGCTGAAACTCAAACTGGTGTAATGTGAGTGGCCGGGACCTCTGGATGACCAGCCGATTTCTAACCTTTACCTCAGATGAAACACACGCACACGTCTTCCAGCCTGATTTAGATTGCATCTGTGCATGTTATGTGTGCGCTTATAGGACTGAAAAAAAACAATGATTTTCTTTGCCAACTGATGAATGAAGGTTGCTTCTCCAACCTCCATGACCCTTTTAACTGTCATCCTTGTAAACATATAGCTTGGACACAAACAGAGCACCTCCTCCTTTTTCTGTCCTTCGTTCAGTTTTTATTCCAATCCCCCAACCCCCACCACCGCCACCAAGTGCCTTCCAGCCTTCTGGTCATCCAAACTCAATGACGCAGCAGAAAGCCAGGGAACAGGACAGTAAGCAGACAGCTGCAAGCCAACATGTTATCATAAGAGTAGAGTTACATGCACAGATAGTCCTCCTGTTAGCATGAGCAACATCTATTCTGGAAGGATGATTAGCACTGCCAGTCTGAGGAGCTTTTTAACTGAAGCCCAACTCTTGAAGCAGAGAAAAACAATCAAATGCTGTACACTCGTGCTGTTGTGGTTCATGCAATTGTCCTCCATGAGGGTACGATGGTGAGCTGACTTGCAAACAATTCCATCACGTGTGTGATCTTATGCTGTGGTCACACACCGGCCCATTGCCCATGCCAAAACCAATAAGGAGACGATCTCTGATGTCCACTGCCCAGAGCCCTGTAAGACAATCTGATTGGACATCTGTGGGGGTCTGAGATTGGCTTAGCAGCAGCTTAGTCGCTAACCACTCAGCATGCAAGCAAAGGGTGAAGAAAAGTTAAGGTCATATTCTCATGAGGTTTTCACATGTATTGAAATGAGGGTTAACTGTGCAGCTTTCAGAGCAGAGCATTAAAACTATCCAGATAGCAGTGAAGCATACAGCTACCGTCTGAAGAACAAGCGTTAGCTGGCAAGTCCATTACACTTTTTTTGCAAGATTATGAAAGGTGGCATTCACATTTTTCCCTGCTGTCTCCTCACATCTCCCTCTTTCATCCTCTCTCTCTCTCTCTGGCCATCTCTCTCTAAACAGGCCAGCAGACAAAGTGTTCAGTCAAGCCTCCTAATCGCCAGCTCACATGGGTGAGCTGAGTCCCAACTTTTCCTGTCTGCCTTGTCCATGCTGCATTTTTCATTTCACCCACTCACTCCTTCACTTACTGCTAAAACATATTCTCTCATTTTAAAAGGGAGGATTTAATGTTAGTTTTTCATGTAAGGTACTTTCAAGAGACAGGATGAAAAGTCAGGGATTTCCTATGGATTAAACACAATTGACTCTATGACCGAGATGCCTGAAATGCTAATTATCAAATGACCTGACTGCTACACAGGCTCTACGTTCAGCCTTGGTGGAAAAAGGGGAAGTGCTCTCAACTCTCTACCAGGTTCCGAATGATATTAAGACTTTCACTTCAGGACTTATTTGTCACACAAGCACAGCTGCTGTGGTCTCACAGGATCGGGGACAGTTAGCAACAGGAGCTCAGATTTGTTCAGTTAGGAAACCACACGTAAACACACACCTTTGACTCCTCAATTTGGTCCAAAACAACCGGAGGTGTAAACTGAGCTGCTATTTCAGTCCTTTCTAATGAAATCTGTGTAGGTATGCTTTCCGAATTAAACCCGTCAAAAAATAAACTTCAGCACATACTGTATGAGAGAGTTGCAGCAAATGCATAGTGCATTCTGTGTTTTCCTTTGCAAGGCGGTGCCACAGTCTGAAACTAAACAGGATACTGAATTCTGCTCCATCCTAACCTGCAACTTGTAACCAGGCTCAGATAATAAACAAGAAGGACCTACCACTCAGCAGCAATGCACAGAAGGGATTGGCGATACAGCTTCGGTTTCACGTGTCCAAACGGTCCAAATATTCCCTCATCCTGCAGAGGGAGTGTTGTCTTAGATACGAGTGTCTGTAATCACCGAGGAGAAGTGATTCGGCACAGAGCTGCAAACAGCCATTTTACAAAATACACTCAGGAAACATGACATGTCGCAACATCCACCTTACAGTGACTTAAAATGTATGATGGTCACACACGTAATCCAGGTCGAGCAGGATCTGCCACCCAAAATTAGGAGACATTATTCAAATTTGAAGCAGCACCTGAAGTATGGAAATAACCCAAACATGAGTCAGAGGCCAACCGAGAGAAACCGCAGCCAGACATGAGGCAGAAGGAGCTTCGTTCTGTTCATTTCTTCCAACCCATTAAGCCTACATCCTGAAGCAATGCTCATTTTCAGGCTCACTCCTGCTCACCAACAGCAGCAGAACCACACACTTAACATTTGTGACAACTGGCTCACCAGCTGTGAGCCTTACTGTCTGGCTGTATCTGGGCAAATGTATGCAAGCTCGCCTCCCTTCGCAGCCTCAGCGATGCCACTGTCACACTTTTATGCACACACACACACCCCTCTTTCCATTCACGCAAATACACACTTCTCACACATTTTTTTAAAGGAAGAAAAAACACTGGATTACAATGGACAAAAGCAGGTCACCACGGCAACAAGCTGAGAGGTACTATAGCAGGGTGTGTGTGTGTGTGTGTGTGTGTGTGTGTGTGTGTGTGTGTGGGATGGAAGGGGAGTCAGTGTCTGAGGTACTGATTCTGGGTAAGGTGCAGGGGCTGTTACAGGAGCAGCTGTTGCTTTTGATTAGAGCCTGAACTCCACTCAGACACACTCCCAAACATCTAAAGTGTAATTGGCTAAAAAGTAACCCAACATTTCATGCATGATGAATACTATGACACGTTTACGGGCCCTCAGACTGGTGTTTTTCTCCCTTTCATAGTCACTTTTCCTCCTCACTATCTCAACATTCCTCCTTTTCTCTGCCCTTCAACCCTTTCCGAGTCGCCCTCCCTCTCTCTCTCTCTCTACGGGGGGCTGCTTCTTCCCTTTCAGTCCCCCGCCATCTCCCTCTTCTCTTCCCCCACCTCTCATGGCTTTTTTTCTTCCTCCCTCTCCTCGGCTACTCATCTGTCTCCACAGCATGTGTTTGCCTTTCACCAAATTTCATTCAAAGGAGCTGAGCAGGACAAATGTACAAGCCAAAAACAATGAGATGCGACCGGAAACTGCAAACAGAAGCGATAAACTAACAAACGAACTAATGCTGTAGCTAGTAGAGCTGAACATCAGTGATCCCACAACACTTCTCATTCATTTCTTTTAGTTCTTTCTGTTCTTTCACTTTCAACGCCAAGCCTTGCTCTCACTACTAGTACAGTACTGTCCTGTACTATTCAAATTAGGCCCTTTTTTTTACTTCTTATTGCGCCTCGGCTCAAATGAATAGGAGAAAAGGAGGAACACAAACAGAGAGAACCAAGCTTTTTGCTATAAAGATGTCAAAGGGATGGGGCTATAATATATGTATTATATATCAAAGCTATGTAGTTGATATTAGGCAGTGATTCCCAACCACGTTCTTATAACTCCATGGTGTACATGGAAAGCTTGTGGAGTCCCTCAGCTAATATGGTAAAATAATGTTTTTTTTTTTTTTTACTTCATTAAAGAAAAATGTGTCCACATATTGAGTCACATAATGACCCAGCTATAAAACCAGCAAGTGGGCAAAAAAAAAAAAGAAACCAGCTTAAAGTACTGAATAAACTGTTAAAATAGTTAGCTACAAGTGAAATACACACAATTGATACACTGCAAATAGGTGTCAGATCTGTGTAGAGTTTACCTTTCCAAACTGGTCAAAGTATTGCTTCACATCTTCGATGGTGGTATTGACTGACAGTCCCCCGACAAAGATCTTCTTTGTCCTGGTCACCAGCTAGCAACAGAGAAGAAGAAGAAGGCATCGTTTACCACTAATCACATTAGGCAGGGGGTAGATAGATGCCTGCGATAAAGAGACTTTATTTGTGTTTGTCTAATCTCAGAGATTTCTGAAAAGCTCTTCTGAGCATTCAGCCTAACCGGACTGAGTTTAAGGTTTAGAAGGGTGTGTATATAGATAAGTATTGTGGTGTATTCATTCACGTGTGTGCAAAGACACGCACTGGTGTGTGTGTGGGAGATATTAGCTGCTGATGGGGGTTGGGTGGGTCAGTGATGTTAGGATGCAGGGTCACAGTGTCAGGCTGGACATGCTCCTCTTTGGTCACGAGTCTGACTCTAATCCCATCCAATCAGAGCTCAGTGATTAGGGGCGACACATGACATCACCACTGCTCCTCCTTGCTGTTAAGCCCGTTAGGGTGCACTCACCTTAGGCTGGGCCCGGCGGGGAAATGCTACCTTTGGGTCGATCTGTATGGGAGACATAAAATAAGATAGTGTTAAAAATTTGTAAAAGTGCAGGGAAAACCTTTTCTCTCTGTTTCCCAAACACATATCATTGTGATTATGTGCATATTTCAAGAAGTCCTAATGTGAATTTGATGATGAACTGTGATGACTGTGGTGGTCTAGCACTTCTGTGTAACAGATGGTTCAAGGTTTCTGCTAGAAGTGTGCAACAGCCGCATTTAACCCTTACCATTACCGCACTGAAGTGGTAATGCTTCCCTTTAACATACACATGGCCTGGCTTGCATTTTATCAAAGTAACAAAATAGAAATGACCATAAAGCATTGTTGTTACACCAAAAGAAAATCACAGACTTCACAAAAAGAAATATACAAGTGTCTTATGGGTCAAACTCCCTGTCTTTAAAATCCAGACACATAAACCCAGACAGATGTCATTAGGATTTGGGGAGCAGTAGTGTTGTATAAAAAGTACTGGCAGCATCCATCACACATACAGTGAAGAGCAATGTACTAAAGTATGCTTTACAGCTGGGAACTCTGAGAGACAACACACAACATTCTATAGTACAGTGGTGTAACTTAACTAACTACATTTACTCAAGTACTGTAGTTAAATACAATTTTAATCAATACCTAATTACTTTAACTGAATATTTTCATCTTCTGTTACTGCATACTTTGACTTCACTACATTTTAGAGGCAAATGTTGTAGTTTTTACTCCACTACATGTATTTGATAAATGTAGCTACTAGTTACTTTTCAGAATCAGAATCAGATTAACTACACAAAGTCTAATATAGTCACCTGACTTTAGTGACCCTATATTTTTATGACAATACTTGTGTACTTTTACTTAAGTAACATTTTGAATACAGGACCTTTATTTGTAAAAGTACTTTTACACTCTGGTATTGTCATTTTTACTTAAGTAAACAATCCGAGTACTTCTCCCACCACTGCTGTAGCAGAGGGTTGAAGCATCCAATAGGTTTAAAATGATACAAATATTAGAAAATAAAACAAGTCATGAAGTTTCAGGATGAAACAACAATTTTAAATGTCAAGTGTTCTTTCGGCAACCTGGGGTGTTCAGGTCACCAGGCAAATATTTTTCATATCTGTTCTGAGGCTTTGATGTAGACCTCTCCTGTCTAACCCACTCTTCCACTGCTTAAGTTTTATTACCAAAGACAACAAATTTCCCCCTGCTCCAGATGTTGTTCAGTAGCTGATCCTGCACTTGTGTAAATTGAATTTCTCTCTGGGAATCAATGACTCATCGCACTGTTAATTAACCAGAATTAACCATCTGAAGGCCTTCAAATCCACAAACAGAACATATGCTAATCTATGTCTATGCAAGCCCCAAAAATCCACATGCACCAGACAAACAAGAAGGTGCAGGGCACAAAATCCACTGTGAGACATGATGCATTCTCTGAACTGCATGTAGAGACACAACTAAGAGCATCTTACCCACAAACTAGGCAAAGCAGGACAGTCTGCATCCAAAATTAGCATTTATATTTAGCTTGTGCCTTTTGTTTTCTAAGGGTGGATGAAACAATATGGGACTGTAAATGTTTAATGTCACTTGTAACCTTGTAATCTATTCAGTATATATATCTATATATAGATATATATAGACAGACACACACGACACCCATTTGGATTAGCAAGATTTGACTGTATCCATAATTCTGCACAGTGAAATGTCTCAGCAGTGGTCAAGGTTACAGATAAAATTAGAAGCAAATGAGTTTTGAATGAGCTGGCCTTTAATAATGCTAAACATGCAAAGCCTGGCCTGGCATTTTAAATTTGTGTGGAATCTTGTGTAATTCTCACTCAAGCCAATGACAGAGATGATTTTAGGTCACAGGAACTTGTAGTGTATTATAGTCTTAGACTTCCATCTTTGTTCTAATAATTGGATGTGTGAAGCAAAACCCCTTGTGTCTCACACATCCACTATCAGATGAACTGAATTGATATTCGCAACTAAAAGGAGCCTATCCAATGGCCAGAAATAAGTACTTATAATGTGAACAATATGCACAATGCAAGGGCGTTCATTCAATATTCATGCAATCTTTTCATCTCTTTCCTGTGATAATTCCCTGCTTCTGATGGCAAATCTACAGACCAAAATATCCCTACGAGGACCTTTAAGTGCCTCAGATTTACCGCTGCTTCGAGAGCACAACACTGTGTAACTAAGATGCAGCTGCAGCGTCCTTGGAAGGGATTGCAGAAGGACTCTGCACCTTGAAGTGGGACAAAAAGACGAGAAGAGTCGCGTCACCTCCAGCTGGTCTGAGCACAAAGACAAAGGTGACAAGGACACGTAAAGCCACCGGCAACTACTGGCTACAGCAGCGCAACAACAGAGTGCACCAAAGAATGATGACAACACAGCATTTCTTACAGGATCTGTTTAGTGGGCCAATATTCGAGATGTGTGGCTTCATACTGTAAGGCTACCAACACAGTGCCTCGTGGACCAAAGGCTTTTTATCTTTTAACAGCAGGAAAAAAGATGAGAACAAAAGGCACAAATGTGAATGGCAAGGGCAGATACAGCACTATATATAGATGTATTCTCATATACTACAACTCTTTGCAATAGAGGTAACTGTGTATCTGCTGTATACTACTGAAAGAACTCCTGTTTTTGTTTGGACATTTATTTTACAGCATAAATAGATTTAGGAAAGAGAAGCTGCAGTAACCTCTGAAGCATAACAAAAAGGCAGAATCACAGCAGTACACTACTACAACAGACGACAGTGTAACCTGTCATCGCTGCTATTGTGCTGTGCTACTTTTTCTTGTATAAATTGTTATTGTTAGAACACTTCCTGGTTACCACGGCACATCCCAACTTGAAACAGCTCTCGGGAAATATGGCCGGCGTTTCTTCCGACCTGACAGCGCTGAAAGGTAACAGCCTTTTGTGTTCAGGTCAGCCCACCTGCCTTAGTGTTTTAACAAGACTAGAGGACAGGAGCTGCCCTGGGGCGATCCTGTGGCTGAGACACAGACCCTGAGCTGACAGTTTCAGCGGTCGAAACCTGCTCTCACGTTAGACTCAAGTCTGCAGTCACGTACCGAGTGCCATGGTAAATACAATAAAATATTCACAACAAATCTGGTAACTTTGAACATCAAGACACATTCATTTCTTCTTTGATTCTGCTCATAAATATTGTCATCGGGTGGATGATTAAGACATGCATAACGATATAGAGTATATAGACTGTGATACATTTTCTTGAAACAACTGAAATGCAGTTTATGGACAGTAATTATTTGGCTTATCTGCTTAATTAAAAACACACCGATGCAACAATCTTGCCAGTATAACATAATTAGAAATATTAATAACAGATATTATATTACCAGTGAGATAGAATAATCCCTGAACCATCTCATGGTCCACTGTAACAATGTCCACCCATACCTTACTTGTTGACAAAGCACCAATAATTCATCACTTTTAAATGATCAGAAGCTCTTAAAAAACAGCTTTAAATACAGATGGTTACCAACTAGACTAGGTTAGGCCTAATGCAATATCTGTAGTAGTGTTGCTACGGCTATGGTCATGCCATGCTGTTAAAAATCATTCCACTTCAGCGAAGTAACAGAATGTATCTAACATGTCATTTCTACATATGGCTATACTCAGAGGAAGGTAACAATAAATGAAAATTAAAGCATCTATCAGGCCGGCAGATTAGCCTCAAGGAAGAGAGATAGGCCACAAAGCAAAAAGTGAAATGACTTAGCCAGGTCACTGTTTGCAACACTCAGAAATAACTCTTCTGAGGCCTGACAGTTGAGAAGTGGCTCTGCCATGTAATAGTCCCAATCAGACTGGTGACAGTGTAACATTTCTAGGAAGACAAAAGTTGCTCCTCCCAGACTGACAAAGAAGAGTTACTGTATGACTGAGTGTTCATGAAATGGTCTGACTAACATCCCGCTTCATGACATCCAACCTCCGCTGCATCTAAATAGCACAGTGACAGCAGAGCCTACAGTATGATTTTAGTGATTTAGCTAGACTAATCTACAACCGATAGTCACCTCATGTGGCCCAGCGCGTCCACCAGTGTTACAAACTGGAAAACAAAAATAAAGAATAAAAAAAAAACAGAAGGTCAAATCAACAGATAGGGAGCAGAGAGAGGAAGTGGAAGAGAAAAGAGAGAAAGAGAGGGCATTCATTTGGAAACCAGAGTCAGGCCATGAAAAAGTGGGCCTGTCCACTGTAGCGGGGCCATCCCAGCAGGCTGCCCCTCTGATTTCATTAATTAACAGGACAAAGAGTACAAAACAGATGGGCCCGTAGAGGAACTGGGGCTCCCATGCTACCCCCACAGGCACACACACACACACACACACTCACATAACGTAGCACAAACATAAACACCGACACACAAAGTGACACATGTTAAATAGAATACAGAAATATGCACATCACCCTAACTACCAACAAGAAGTGTATCACAGTCATATCCAGTCACATTCACGCACTGACACACTGGCCAACCTGCCAAGAAGTTCTTGCAAAACAGCTACACTGACAGAAAGGGACCACAGGCTCCACCATTATGGCCAAATAATCAATATAAGCTAAACAAAAAGCTGTAAACAGAAAAGGAGACAAAAGGAGTTGGCATGTCAGTGCACGCACACAGAGTGAAGGAGAGAGACTTAGTTTGGGCTCAGGCCAGCAGGCTCATTCTGCACAGCTGAACAATAGCACAGTAATTAGTTAACGAAGCTCGCTAATGAGGACCCCCAACCCCACCCCTACCCCTGTAACCCTGCTAGAGCACCTCACCGGGGCAGGGGCGAGTGTGTGTAGTGGTGGTGGGCAGGGTTGTGGACACGTAGCACTGCGAGAGCACCCTGGATCCACCTTCAGAGCAGGTCCAGGCTTTATCCCCAGACATCGGAAGCCCAATCCAGTTTGTTTACTTCAATCCAATTAGTTGCTTTTCTGATCCATACTAATTACAGCACAGGAACTGGGCCTGCCTCCTTTCTCTCTCTCTCTCTCTCTCCGCCACCTTCTCCATCCCCCTCTCCATTTTCATCCACGTCAGCATTAACAGCTAATCTCCAGTCAGGAACAAGGAGCCTCACCACTAGCCGGGTGTTAGATCAGGAGCCACAGCAAACTGCAGCGCCACTGTCCACGAAGGCTTGTGCTAACATATGTTGTTACAGTGATGCCTATAGATGACAACAGCTATATTAGCACCATTACAGATGAATAGTACTGCACCTGTCAAAGCCAGCCACCTACTGTAACACACCTGGAAAAGGCCATTCCTGTTTACTCCGTGTAAAAAAATGAAATCATCTGTATTTTCCCTTTTTTTACACGGAGTAAACACCTTACCTTCTATAAATATATTTTTCATTTGGGGAGTGTTAGTTCAGGATTACACTTGGGGTTATTTTAGGGCATTGGTCTTTACAAAAATAACAAGATTATCACACACTCGACACATCGCCACAGAATAAATAATTCATATCTGCTGCATGTAAGCAATGTTTATCAGTCACATGCACAAAAAGGTACACAATAATCCATCATTTAAAAACACACCAGAAATAATAACACACTAAAATCACAGATACTCCACACTGATCCGAGTGAATGAAAAGTAGTAGCGCTTCTGAGAATATCTCGTCTCGCATTTTTCTTCTTCCAGTAAAGCATTTCTCCGGGAAAACAAATACCAGTTATGTCCTTCTTCTCTGTCCAGAGAAACCACTGCCCTAAGGCCGTCCTCTGCCCCTACAGGAAATCTACCCTCCGACTAAAACAACCTCAAAAGACCTTGCTCTAAAAACAAAAGACAAAACCTCTCATTTCAGGTATTATTATTTTTCTGCTACATGACAGGTAGTGACAGTACTTGTAGTGTTTAATCATTTAGCTCATGGCTTTTGTTTTTTGAGGGTGGATGAATCTATACAGAACTGTAAATGTTTAATGTCACTTGGAACCTGTGATATGGACCTTGCACCAGTAAATGCAGTTTACTTCTCACCCTGTGTCCTCGCACAGCACCCTGTTGCTCTGTTACATCCTTTTTCCTACACCATCCTCGTTTCTCTCCTTCCTGCCTCAGGCCCTGTTGTGTCTTTTCTCACAAACCAAATGCTCAGCATAAAAAGAAAAAAGAATCAGAGCACTGAATATTCTTCCTCATTCCAGGGAGGGATGTCTTTTTCAAATCTCATGCTGATTAAACAATACTGTGGAGAGGGAGGGAGGGTCCAGGTGTGAGGCAGACACAAGGCGCAATGGAAGTGTGGAAATAAATTCAAATAGAAGATAACTGCAAAGACACAGATGTTACACAGAGGCTGACGCTGGTCCCATGTCCACAAAGTCTCAACTCCATGCTGCTGTATGTTTAGCCAAAAATAGTTATTCGAAGGCTTTATTCATATTCATTTACAACCCAAAAAAGTGGAAACCAGGTTACCTGACATATTTGGAACTAAGAATAAGCAGTTTTGCTGCTCGGTTATATTTCATACAGTGTTACAGAATTAGGCTATAAGCAAAAAAAAATAATAAACTAACTTTAACTATATAGCCCTTACAAATCTGCACACACATGAAAAAAAGATTTGGCCTCTTATTCCCAAAAAGGAACGACAAAATGGCACCCATGCTGTTTGAAACGACTGGCTGGATAGTTTGTACCACGGCGTGCTTCCTCCGTGCGCTGCTGCCACAACAACCTGGGCATCCAAAGCTGCATTTGAGTCTTTGACATTATTATTGTTTACCCTTATGCTGTGTTTTGGTTTATAATAGGGCAACGCCTAACCCCACCAGTGGCCTGCCAAGCTCAACCTCCAAACCAGTGCTCACAGCTCACACACTCATTACAGTCTGGCTCTCTGGCAGCACCTAGTTTTACGAGGTACTGCATCTCGTAAGTAACACTGGACGATTAGAACTTGCTTCCAAGCTAAGCGAAGAAACTAATAGATCACCAGCAGCAAAACTCGTTTTGTAATAAATACTACAGCAACTGTCCTGAAACACTCAACTCTGACAATCCAATTTTTAAAAACTGTAGCTTTAAAACTGATAACTACTAATCATCACCCCCCCACCCCACCCACACAAAGTATAAAGGGTCTGTCACCATGACATAACGCTGTGTGACAGGGCTCTGCCACCCAACTGAGCCCAGTGTTTTAAGTTAATGCAAAATAACAGAGAAGTTGTTATGGAGACATAAATCCCATCAGGTTGTGCAGTCACAGCACCGTCTCCTGTGGCTGGTGTCACCCCCGGCAACAGGCTTGCGCCAACAACTAACCAACTCTACCTTTCTTCACCCCTGGGCTCTGCTGCTTTTCTGTGCCACAGATTTTCACTCTCAGATGATCCTGTGTGTTTGTTGAAGTGTTTGTGTGTGTGTGTGTATACAAGTGGTTAGGAAAGGCCACGACCTAATGAAGACACACCCAGTCCCTGTTCCTGTATCCAGTCTACATGACCAAGACACCAATATTCACACCTTCATGGATATTCAAATCAAAGTCAGCAGCTTTGACTCTTGCCAAACTACAAACCACAAGTGCTCACATATGTTTTCATGTTAGCATAGGGATGTTAACAAGTAGGCTGTATTGTGGGCTTCTGTTGGGTAACCTGTTCGTCCATAGCGTAGGAGGAGGAATCACAAAGAAACCCTGGTCAAACATATTCTCTACAAACCTCAGCATCTACATAAATATTTAATTTCAGCTATGACGCGTTTGGCCCTCACAGACTTCCCCTGACATCAGTTTGGGAACCACTGCCACAACTGTTTCCTTTCCTCTGACTTTTTTCTTTGAGAGTTGCCACCACCAAAACTAGTGCTGTTGTTTTCTATTTAAAAAAAAACTTGTGAGCTCTCTGCATAACCCCTGTGAGGTTTTGCAGGGGCTCCTACCCCATTCAGGTCCCCAGGTAACCATGGCAATGAAGACCAAGAAAGAACGCTTTCATGTTGGCGCCCTGAACCGGGATTTGGAAGGGGAAATGAGCAGAGAGAGAAAGAGGAGGGGGCGAGGAGGGGGGTGCTGCTTCAAAACGCACTCTTCAACTTTACATACGGTGGGAGGCAACATGCACTGAGGGGGAAAAACATGCCACACAGACCCCGAACTGGAAAAGTTACAAAAGGCAACTTAGTAGCACCAAGCAACTTCAAATGGCAGCACTCACCGTTTTGGAATCCAGCTCGTGCCTGTTTTGCGCCAAAACCTTCTCCACGCCGGCTTGTTCTGCGTATGTCACAAACCCGAACCCCCTGTAAAGGCAAAATAAATTAACCCGTGCCACAAAAATCAAAATGCTAACTCAGGGCAGCTTGAATCGTCTAATGGAAAAAGCACCGCATCCAGTGATAGGACGGCGGAGCGCACACGCCTCCTTCTTACCTCGACCGCTTGGTAACGGGATCCCGCATCACCATACACTCCTTCACCTCGCCAAATTTACAGAAGTACTCCTTCAAGCCCTCTGCAAAAACAGCGGGGAAATAAGTTCATATAAACGCAAGAATCTGAGACTCTACCCACAGGCCCCGGTGTGCTGGCACCGGCTATAGAGAGACAATGGGGTTGAAACGGACCACGTTGTGATTGTGTCCCTCGGGTCCTCAGAGATCGGGCTATCTGGCCACTCAGCATAATCGCCCATTAGGCCCTGCAGACCACAAACAAAGCTACACTTGGTGACGATGGCTGTTTTGACACAGCAGCAGCAGCAGCAGCAGTGGCATAATCCGTCGCAACAAGAATAAACTGTAGCCTATACACCAGCCTGCGCTCACGGCTCTTAAAATAAATGAATGGATTCAGCGGAGTGCAACAAACACAACGAGCGTGGGCATCGACGTGAGCTCAACTTCTTCTTTAACGGCGAATAATCGATCACTTCTACTATAAATGCCCTTTTCTGTCATTAACTGCGTAATGAGTGCACAGGAAAAGGCAGACAAGTCCTTGTGTGTGCACGCATTTCCAGCGTTAATCTCCCCGCGTCTCGGCAAGTCTAAATCCTAAAAGCTGATCCTTACTGAATAGGAGGCTTTGATTGAACTATTTACAGCGGTTCTCTTAACTTCAGAAAGGCTCGCAGGTGAAATAGGGGCTATTCTTAAGCCAAAGGTATGCAGAGGGAAACTGGAGGCTTTCACAGAGACTTATTAAAGTAGCGTGCGGGACAGCTCACCTTGTGTTGTCTGCCAACTCAGACCCCCGATGAACATTTTGCTGAATGAGAGAAATACAAGCTGTAAGTCACACAGAACATCACGCGTCTTTAAAGCACAACCACATGTTCATTCGAGGCAAAAACTGGAGCAATTATGTGTAATATAGCATCAATAAAGTGAGAAGAAAGCATCGGCCATGTTGCGAAGTCACCAATCGGCCAGTCGGGCCGTTATAATCCCCTAGAGGAGGAAGAAAGGACAGGATTTTCCAGATGATGGAGGAGAAGTTACAATGATGCCTTCTGGAGGAAAACAGGCA